TTATTGAGATGCACCTGTATTCTAGGTATGTACTTAAATTTCAGCCACTGAAAATATTCAGTCAAAAATGTGATTTAGGGTATAATAATATAGACAACTTATTTACAATTTATTTAACTCCAAATAAAATCATATTTATAGCATTATTTCCTTTCAGACAAGAATTTAAATTTCAGTGCATGACTACCCAGTCAACACGTGAGATCATGCGATGATCACAGTGACATCACACGATCCTCATACTGTGATCCTCATGGTGTGAGTACTATATGAAATCAGTGAGTTCACACGATCCTCATACTGTGATCCTCACGGTGTGAGTAATAGGTGAAATCAGTGAGTTCACACGATCCTCATACATATTTCAATACAATGGCTTTGTGTGAGGAATGGACAGATTAGTTTCAAACTTTGCAATAAAATGTGAGAAATAATGACATATCATAAATATCATTATATGAATAATGACATATGACATATCATAAATGTCAAACTTGTTTGAATATGCATAAGCATATGAGACTGAAGCATATTTTCAGTGAATATGAGCTGTTATATGGGGTCCATTTTGGACCAATTTTATGGGCTTTTTTCCATTTCTGGAGCATAACATCATCCATCCTCACTCCCCCTGTATAGAAAGGAACAGCCAAGACATTCAGCTAAATATCTCCTTTTGTGTTTCACAGAAGAAAATAAGTCATACAGATTTGAAATGACAAGAGGGAGTGTAAATGATGACAGAATTTTCATTCACGATAAACTATCCTTTTAAGAGTATTTGCTCTTTTTATTATTGAATAGCCTGTAAGAAAAAAACGGGCACAATTTTAGCATGGCAAACCTAATTTTGGATTCCTTTTACAGCTTTCTAAAAATTAAAAAAAAAAGTCTGCGAAAAAGTGAGGGAGAGGGGCAAAAAGAGCTGGCATCCATCCACTGTAAATTCTTCACCCCCTTCGTTGCACTTGGATGATTGTTATTCATTCTCACGCTTCATTAATGTGGTCAGTCTCCACATCTGACTTTGATAAACATGCCATCACTATATTCCACGGCTTTACAAATGTATTCTTTAGTTGGATCACAACTACGATGGCAGGTTGTGCCACACAGAGCTTGCCTGAAAATCTACACAGATCATTAAATGAAGTAACATAAAACACGCTGGCAGCTCAGACGGCCCTTGTCAGTTCATGGCAGCAGCAAGTTTTTGACACACTTCCCAGACCATAGTAATATTAAAATATAAGCCAACAAAAAATGTGGAGCAGCCAAGCCAGACTGAGCTAGGCTGGATTCCTTCACAAAATGGCTAGACAGAGTTTTCTTCATTCTTGAAACAGTCAGTGCTTTTAAGGTATCCCCTTGTTCAAATACAGCTCAGATGACGATTCGATGACAAACACCGAGTCTTTTCCTATCAACAAAAACTGTCAAGTCACAAAGGCTTTGATAAGCGCAATCTCTATCAGATAGTGATCTAATCCTGTAAACTCACCTGTGGATCTTAGACACACACACCTCCAGCTACCATCCCCCATTCTGCTTCCTACCCATAGATATGAGGGTATTTAACTGAGGAATACCATGCCATTGTTTTGGCTGAACTCAAAGCGTGTGACTTCAAGGAGCGGCCCGCCATGCACTCGTCTAGCCTGTGTCTCAGCTCATCACTATAGGGAAATCTTTGCATAAGGATCAAAACCTTGACTTCAGGGATGTGATCAAAAAGAGATCAAATACTGAATTATGCTTGAAAACAAAGGGCTGTTTTTCTTTGATTGAGCACCGAGGCGTCTCGTTGGGATGAATCTTTTGTTAACAGGTGTAAAATATTTCATTATGAGTGAAATGGTCACCATAGTTAATTCCTGACCTTTCAGCAATTCAAGTGTGGTTTACCACACCATATCAGCGACTGGTGTTAGTTTGGATGCATCCAAGTACTTTTTATATACCCCCTACTACTTGCATTATATTAAATGTATACACTACCATTCAAAAATTTGGGGTTGGTAAGATTTTTTAAATGTTTTTGAAAGAAGTCTCTTATGCTTACCAAGGCTGCATTTATTTGATCAAAAATACAGTAAAAACTGTAATATTGTGAAATATTATTACACTTTAAAATGTGAAAATAACTGTTTTCTATTTGAATATATTTTAAAATGTAATTTATTCCTGTGATTTCAAAGCTGAATTTTCAGCATCATTAATCCAGTCACATGATCCTTCAGAAATCAAAATATGCTGATTTAAAAAATGCACACATTAATGTCTTTTTTAATAGCCTTAATGTATAAATGTGATACTCGCAAGATCATCTGCAGCTATACATTACAAAGCAGCAGTGCATGCTTCAAACTGAATTTGAATGCTGAATATGAGATAAGAAGAGACTAAAATAGACAAGTGCACAATTCAAGAGTTGCTCCACACAATCATACACAATGCATATTTGTTGTATGCGTACATGTTTACGATCAATAACAAGTGTTTCGTTTTGTTCAGGTAATTGCCTTCTTGCTTCCCCCTGCTGGTAAGGCTCAGTGTGATTGGATTAGATAGGAGATTAACTTAAACTCAAAATCATCTTTCCCATCAGTCAGATTCAATAGGCATCAGTGATGTTTTAATTGCATTGTACCCATTACACATAATTGTGCATAAACAACACTCAATACCACATAGCTGCAAATAATGAGTTTTTAAACCCAATTGTGTAAGGCTCTCGACCTTCATCTAATCCACATGTTGCTGCTCACTGAAGCTGAACACCAAAACAACAATGCAGATTATCCATAGATAGAGGTCTTCACTGATTTGCACCTTCTGCCAAGCCAAAACAATATATATATATATATATATATAATATCACTATATATTAATATCACTATGGTCTATTTTTATTAACATTATTATTATGATTTGATACTGTTTTAATATTGCATCGTACATGGCTAATTAAAATAAATATGTTATTAGTGTCACAATTACAAAAAAAGTGAACATTTAAAAAAGTATAATGAAAATAAAAATAAAATGAATAAAATCTCGATAGAACATTTTCAGTACATATTCCATCATCCACATCAATCACTATAATTTGTAAGGATGACACTTTCAATGTCAAGTTCTTGGATGAAAAATCACCCCCTACATTGAGAGAGCAAGGTGACCCCTCTTAATCATAGGGGCTGTTATCTAACGGGGTTCAGTCAATAATCCCAGGACAGACAGCTTTGGTTCATCTACTGGGGAACTGGAGGGACCTTATTAACACAAGGGTGAACAGAAGGTAGGATAGGGGCTTATTAAAACCTTTTCGAGAAACCATTACAGGACAGTCCTGATCCACACCGAGCAAAATATATTATGAGAGAAAGAAAAAAAAGGGATGAGGGTGGAAAAACAATGTAGAAAGGTAGACAAAAAAGTAGACAACAGAAGATAGATAGAGATGGACAAGGAGAGGATTATGCAGTGGGGGTCCATCATCTGTTCCCTAATGAGAAGGGCTAGTTCAGTAGCTGTCTAGGTCATGTACTAAAGATTAAAGCTCACTTTAAAGAGAACGCAACACAGAATGAGACCTGCAGGGCAATTTGCACAGATCTAAGCATTATCAAGGTGGTTTTGAGCATTTAGGTCTACAAACATAATGAAAGATGATTTAAAAAACTGAATATTGTGTACATTGTGAACAGCTTTCTTATCACTGTGAAAATCTCATCACATTTTTGAGCACCCTTTAAGGGTTCCTCAGATTGTAGTATCTGAACACAGACACACAAAACTTGTATATGTGACCAGTTTCATGATCAGAACCACTTCAGACATAAAAAAAATATAACCAAAGGCAACAGCAAATTGGCTAATTATGAACACCAAACCGTTCAGTTTTAAATATTTGCTTTGTTAAAACATATTTGCTTTACTTCACTAGATAAAATAGGTTAACTGGTAAATTAAATGTTATAATAAAAGACATTTTCTAGTACATTATGTCTGTTTCAATGCACTTAGTCCACCTGCTGTTTTCTATCAAGGCATAGTGTGACCCTGAACCACAAAACCAGTCATAAGGGTAAATTTTTCGAAATGTATTGAGATTTATACATCATCTGAAAGCTGAATAAATAAGCTTTCCATTGATGTATTTGTTAGGTTTGTTAGGACAGCACAATATTTGGTCGAGATACAACTATTTGAATATCTGGAATCTGAGGGCGCAAAAAATATCAAAATGTTGAGAAAATCGCCTTTAAAGTTGTCCAAATGAAGTTCTTAGCAATGCATATTACTAATCAAAAATTAAGTTTTAATATATTTACAGTAGAAAATTTACAAAATATCTTCATGGAACATGATCTTTACTTAATATCCTAATGATTTTTGGCATAAAAGAAAAATCAATCATTTTGACCCATTCAATGTATTTTTGGCTATTGCTAAAAATATACCCCAGCGACTTAAGACTGGTTTTGTGCTCCAGGGTCACAGTTTTTACATTTTGCACACAGTTTACGTACCGTTTTCTGCAAATTGAACATATGATATTAACAAGAATTCCAAAATGGACATCTGCATATTTAAAAGTTATAGTGTATTACTTTACAGATATGGATTTGCAGTACATGCGTCTACGTTTGAACAAGCTCAACATATTTATGGACTCACGTGCAGTGTGTTTTGATAACAAACTTCACACTTTTCAGAAGCGAATAACAAAGCCAAAAGGTGAACACGCTTCACAAATGGGGTCTAAGTAACTTTAAACAGTCGATATCCCTCTATTACACAAAGAAAGGTTTAAAGACCTCAGTTTAAACACAATATTATCGGACAGTACAGGCTACTGTAACTGCAGCATCCCTAAACATCCGCGTGCATCCCATTCAAACGCGCGCGGTCGAAACGCTCCAGAAAGTTTCTCACAAAATTAAACCACAACAGAAAACAGAACCGCATAGAAAGATGAAGCGAAATGATCTTACCTTGCCAAGCAAGAGCGCACATATGAAGAACAAACAGTAAAAGTGAAGTGTTTGGCAGAGCCATGCTTCTGAAGTTATCCATCTGAATGAAGCGCACTAGAGGAGCACGGCAGTTTTGGCCAGGAGGAGCGCTACAGAGGGAGGGAGGGAGATAGAGTCGAGTTGCACAAATGCTGCCTGTCTGTTCGCTATTGTAGCCTACTGTCCTGCCGCGAGTGGGAGGAAATTTGGGACATTCGGTTAATGCTCTCCACCCTACAAAATAAGGTTAAAGGGGTCATATGATGCGATTTCAAGTTTTCCTCTCTTTGGAGTGTTACAAGCTCTTGGTGCATAAAGAAGATCTGTAAAGTTGCAAAGACTAAAGTCTCAAATCCAAAGAGATATTCTTTATAAAAGTTAAGAGTCAGCCACACCTACCTAAAACGGCTCGTTCTAACACGCCCCCACATGTCTACGTCACTATCTGGGAAGATTTGCATAACACCGCCCAAATGTTCACACAAAGAAAGAAGGAGTAACTTTTATTCTCGCTGTAATATTGAAAAGTGAAAAGTGAAAAAGTGAAAAGTGACGTGACATGTGGCCAAGTATGGTGACCCATACTC